AAATGCTGTTTTTTTAAGAATACCAGATGATGGACAAAGTCAAAAAAATTAGTAATTCAGATTATACACTTATCTCTATATATGCAACATTTGCAATCATCTTGTCTGTCTCACTGCACAGTGAACACAGACTAAAGATATCAGGAAACAAAGTAATGAGGATAATGTTTTAACATAAGAGAGAAGAAATAACACTAAGAATGTCCATAATTTTTATTTTTCTCCTAATAATATTAGGATGATTACATCAAGGAGGATGAAATGGGGCAGGGAGCACACATGAGCAAGGCACATGATTTTAATCAAAATCTGAAGGGAAAGACCAAATGTGACATGACAGGATAATAGTAAAAATGGATCTTTATAAAAACAGGATATAGTACAACTTTTCAGAGACCCTGCATGACAGAGATATTGTTATACAGTATTTCTTACCATTTTCAAAGTTACACTGTTACTGTTGAGGACTACTATACCTTGTGAATTTTAATGACACTACACAAATATTTGCTGCTCCAGTCCTTAGGATTACAACCTAAAATACAATTTCTGTACACAATTCTTCACATACACATGTTCATGTCCACCAGAAGCTGACAGAAAAACTTGTGCTAAGTGACCTGACATGGTGCCACCATTTGGGAGGAATGTACAATATTTCTCCCTGTTTCAGATGACACTCCCAAGCGACAGCATTCTCATAGTTTGGAAATGTACCATAATCAGGCTCTTCAGGGTTAACTTGAGCTGTATTATTAAGCAATGAACCCTCATGTGGATACAGCTTCCCTGTTTCATCTGGATGGTACAAGAGAATGCGCTTCTCACCAACAACCTGACAAAGACAAGTGACGTAACCATCACTAAGTTTATATTGAGCATTACATACTATCTGAGGTTATGTCTGCAATATAAAATACTTGGGTAGCTGGCTCTACTCCATCCTCAGATTCAGTATTCAGTCTCAAACATGCTGAATGATTTCACCTCTATAAAGCATGAAGTTTCCTGACAGTATAAAAATTCCTCTCAGGTCCATAAAATTTTGTGAGCACTTTTGTTTCAAATACTTGCAATGCACTAATGACTATAATGTTTCATAAAATTAGGGAACATGAAATATGGAAGACAAGACAAACATGGATGCAGACTTTGAGGGGCACCTAGAGAAATCTGGGAAGGGGAAACTAAACAGGATGAAATGATGTGTAACATCCCTATACCTTTAGGTGTAATGAATGCCCAATAACGTTTCTAAAAGTCATTTACCTTTAAAGATAAAGGGAAGGGGGTTTTATGCTGCATGATTTAATAATTCCACAACCACTGGAATGATCTTTACCATATTTTATACTGGGAGATACTTGTTCACCCACCTCATCTGTTATTATTTATGAGAGGATCACAAACTGAAAATCTGAATCTGTACACTATACATGTATTTCCTAACTCATCTGAATATATTAAAGTAAATCACAGTTAAGAGACAAATATAATTTACTTTATGCATTTATAAATACCTAATTATGTTAGATTTTCTATTTTCTCAATTTTATGTGTTACCGTTATTTTCCAGCGTATAAAGTTACACAGGCATTTGAAATACATACTTGAGCCAGAAGGTTATGTTTGGGGTCATGGTGGAGGGGTGATACTGTGCCCTTAGGACCAAACCAAGCATTGATGTCTGTTTCATCAACTGCCACACCTTCATCCAAGTTGTCACTTAGACAACAATACTCTGGCTCACAAATATCTGACATGAGCTCTGGAACCTGTGATCACATAAGAAACAACCTATAAGCTTCATAAAAGAACCAATTTACATAGTAAAAAAATGTTGACGGGTTGGTATAGTGTGTAAAGATTCTGGATTAAATGTAGATTTGAAGATGATCCCAAAGAAGATCTTGAACATGGAACTAAAAGGAAAACACCAAACATGGAGACAAGAGACCAAGATCAGAATAACAGGTTAGGAAAAGATCTTACAGAGAATGAAGAAAGAATATGAGAAGAAGCTGAAGAAAAGCTGTGGGAAGACAAAGATGGCAGGAGACAGTTGGTTGTCAGTTGTAAAACCCACATTAAAATCGAAATGTCTTAGGAAGTTGAGGAATAGTTGAAACGACGTGGGATTTACATGAGAACAGGGCAGGAAACTGAATGGGCCTCAGAAATAAGCTGGGCATGGTGGTGAAAAGAAAAATGTCAATGCTGTTGCCAGGAATATAAAGCCTGAACATCCATTACACAGTCTGTCACCTAGCTGACTGAACTTTTACAATGTTGGTAATACAGCTTAAGCTATTCGGTGATACCTGAATATATACCTGTTCAAGTAGGGGATGCTGTGCCAAGTAACCAATCGGGGTGTTTTCTCCCATCTGTTTCACAATATGGGCTGCAATGAACTCCCCGACTGTCATCAATTTCTGTGACCATGTAGGGTGTACATAATGGGCTCCAAGCTCTATAGGCACTGTGCGGGCTCCAGCTACTTTCCTCAAATAGTTTAAATCTTTCCAGAGAAGTAGTGCTGGCCAGTGAGACATACAACCTAAAATATACCTATTATGTCATTGTGATGTCTATATGGTATGTTCTGTTACCAGATATATCTAAGGTCAACTAACTCTAGGTTCAACACAGTGAGCACAAAAAACGTTCTTAAATATTTTACTTTTACCACACCACCACTAAACAATTTCAGATTGCGGTAAAATCTTTAAGGATATTTTCCACTTTTATATACTCAACTGCATGCAGTGATTCTCAAACAATCAAAATGTTCTTACCAGTGAGTTTTACTGGAATACGAGTACCAAAATGAGCAGCTCTAAATTGTTCCAGTGATGGTTTCTCCAATGATTTTATTGTATGACCTTTGACCCCTGGTATACTCTCTATCGTAAGTGAACTGTGCTGTGTGTCATTTGATGACTGTGATGCTTCTTGTTGTGGTACTGACCCTGAAAAACATTTCTTTAAATCATCCACACAAAAATTTAATGTTAATTCATCTGACAATATTCAAACTCAATCTATCTCCTTCAGCTCCTCTGTCAGACCCACCCTGACATTTAGGAAATGTCATTCCAGTCCAATTCTGATGGAGTCTGACCAATCTGAAATATTATTTTGTTTTGTAAAGGTATTTGTTTTTTTTAAGGTAATAACAAATGTCATCATTTGAGGTACACATACTTTGAGATATCTGCACATTTTATTAGCTTTGATGTTCATATAATGCAGAACAACTGATAACACCATATACCAGTCCAAACTATACGTCCAGCCTATTATACCATCCCTAGTTGACTATTAAATGCACAAAACCAGTTCCTAAGTTCAACTACACGAATGGAACAGACAGAATTTGAACTTGCAGCAAAATTTCTTGCTATTTTGAAATTTTTCACCTGAAGAGATGGTTGACAGGGCATGAGATAATAAGGAAGCAATTCGAGTCATAGAACAATCCCCATTAGACAAGACAGCTCCCAGCAGAATTCCAAGGTCAGCAGTCTTTACTGCTGATTTCAGTAACTCAACCTTGTTTCCATGCTCATGTTGATAATTCCTAAGTAAAATATCAATCTGTAAACACAGCACCAAAATTATCAACAGAACACAAAGAATTATCACTGTGTGAAATCTTATGTTTAGAGGTGGAATAAGTTTGTGGAAGTATGGAATTCTTTAGTATTCCTTTTTATGTACAACGAATCTACATTATTATCTATGATGACACATGTTTGTTTCTAGTTTGGATTCAGAATTAGAGTCACATGGCATAGCATAAGTTTCTCCTTGTCTCCTTGACAAAATATATTTCTTATGCTTACTTTTTGAAGTTTTAGTCTTTGCTCTAAAATACATGCATATTTAATTATGACAATACCCCCATTAATGGGATGTTATTTATGGTACCATGAAAATCGCACAGACCTTTATAATGGCAGCAGCTGTGTACAGCTGCCGAGGAGCAGGCGGGACCTTACTCCAGTGCCCAGTATTTAGTTCTTCCCAAGTGATTTCCAGTACTGCCTCCACAGCTTTCAATGCTTCTGCATAGCTGTGAGAAACAGTGATAGTATCGGTGTTATCGGATGGTACAAACTTCTGGACATGAATATACATGTAACAAAAATCAACCCACATTAAATATCACTAACTAACTAACTCCCTGGTAGCAGAACCCGCAGGTTCAACACTAAATCCCGCCACTGGCCATGATCCTGAGCCATCTTCATCCATTTTCAATCCTCACATCCCACCTCCTTCTTGGTCTGCCCAGTGGTCATTTTTCAGAAGGATTCCCTACCATTAAATGTCACTTCTCATTCTTGTATGGCATGCTACAATGTTATGGTTAGACAACAATGTGCAGTCACATAGCTCTGCTAACATAATTATTTGCTGTCACATGGTAATAACATCAACACATTCATTTTGCAAGGCAGTATGTAAGCTGCCCAAAAGGTCATGCCTACTAACTTTCAAAGTTGGCATACAAACTACTTCTTTGCAAAGGTCATACTGTTTTAACCATATACAATAATTTTAGAATCATCAAATAAATAGTATATACCAGAAGAATATATTTATTTCATGATAAGACACAAACAGTGGTTATAATAAGACTACTACCTTACCTATGAGAAATGTGATCTACTGTCTTGTAATCATTCAATATGTTCCAACCCTGCCTCATCACTCTTCCCGAGCCTTCACATCAGTAACCTGATTCATTTTATGAGTTTAAAACAGGTTGCGCTATGCTATTATACTGAGAAACCAAATTTTGAAACAGGTCAGGGAGGTTATGTACGATGTTATACATAAACAAGACTTGAACTTAATTCCGTTAAGACTGGCTGCCGTTTCGTAATTCTGTGCCACCAATTTTTGTTGTAAATTAGCAACCTGAATATTTAAGGTTATGTTTCTAATATGCGTAAATTTAGTACCTTAAATGTGTCTGAACTCACTTGCCATCTTTCGTCATTCTATCTTGAGAATACTGTAGTAAAAATAACACAGCAGAGTCCAAATCTTCTGCTGGAAGAAGGTGTGTGATGTTCTGAGGTACGAGCTTCCTTACTTCATTCAAAACATTTTCTTCCATTTTAATTATACAGTAACACCAACTGAGGAGTGGTTGGAAACTGACAACTCAATATCATAAGTTGGCAAAGCGTAAAATATATGGCGTCACTCGTATATTGTGCTACCATCTATCAGCAGTAGTTTGTATTAAACCAAGCTAGCAGCCATTACCAAGAGCTCAGTCGGTCGGATGACGTTCTTCAACTGCCGTTCTGTAGTGCCGTCATGTAAACAATTGAAAGCATTCATTGTACCGCGAAATTTAAAAACACATTTTTCTAAGAAAATAAAATTGACGAAATTAATGCTCTTAATATGAAATGCCGTATCACGAACGCTTTATACTTCACACAAATAATGAGGGGCAAATAATTTTGATTTATTTCAAGACCTGCGTACATCTACCTTAGTACAGCAAGAAAATTCTTGGACTCGAACTAGACACGACCACTCCGGAGACTATCTGATGTACGACTCTGGGAAGGGACTTGAAGGGTAGCTGTGTCTAAGGCAAGTCCGGAAACATTTTTAATGCATTACATATATCCTGCACTTCGTTCTAACATTATCAGCGCCAGTCATCGGAATACTGGAAACATAATCCAGAGTTCTTAAGCATGTGACTTTAATTTGAAGCGTAAAGTAACATTTTCCTTAAGTGACCACATTTAGATGTGAAATTTGAACTTCCATGAAAGTATGTTCAGGGCTCAGGCAAAGATTCTTTACCAGCTCAAGTGATAAAACAATGGCGTAACCGGAATAAACAGAGAAACATGAAAATAGATAAAAGTTGAAGCCGACATAACCTCAAATTTTCATTGTCTCTCCTCAGTTATCCACGAGAATGCCATGACACATTTCTTCACGCCTTGTTTCCACACACGCAGTTTTTTATCGTCTACACACTCCAGTTAAAATTAGCTCAGACTGATGATGATAAGTTTTTGGAGACTGTCAATGTTCACGGCTGGTTTTCAGGATTTCTAAGTTTCCCGTATTAAAGTGTCTTATAAAACATTCCATTACTGTTTATGTTTCTAACAATATAACAGTGATTATTCATGGTTTATTTGAACGTATCTTCTGAAGATGGTAAGAAGTGTCTAGATAGACAGATCCTACACGTATAAGGTACGATCAAAAATTGCATGGTCACTGACTGCACCAATTATTTACAGTTCGCAGAGTTGAGTTTTAGTTAGTTGATTATTTAACGCTGGTCTATTGGGCACATAGTTCATTTATCGTTTGCTTGAGGACGCTGTATCGAAATTTCAAGAACTCACACTAAATGTCTTGTGCGTCTTGGCTGAGGGTTCGAATTTCGAAGATATTAATACATATTTACTTTCTCAGTTTCTCGCCAGTAACCGTACCATTCACCACTAGACATAATCCTATGTCTCCATCTTCCACATATTAACATATTTCCAGAAGACCAATTTTTATGCCATTGTCTCATTTCATTATCAGTTTTTCAAGAGGACACTACCCCCTTACCCCTAAAATCATTTGAATATCTTGTCACCACCATCTGATCTACTCGTCTAGCTCATAGCGAACGCCAAATGATTTATGGATTTTTGCCAGTTTACTTTTAAAGTCTTGAAAGTAACAATATGGACGGTTGTATATAAATAAGGTACTAGCTATCGCCTGACAGCAAAGGAAAAGTCGCCACAGTTACACGTAGATATTAAACAATCAACCCATTGGACGGCGGGGTGTTGTCATCACCAAAGCCGGAAGTAGATGGACACAGTTCAGTGAGGGCACTTCCTACTGCCCGTGTTTGGGGACACCGAGTGTTCAACACTTATTACGTAAGTTTCCTTACAAACTACATTCGTGGCATTATCTGTGTAAAAAAGTACGTACATAAAGCATAACTCGTAATTTATCAGTTTTCTAAAGAAATTACAAAGTAAAAAAGACAATATGTACATTGCAGCATGCCTACCAACACACAGTTCTCATTAAAATAATCAGTTTGTTTCAAGAAATTTTCGATATGGTGAATATAACGTAAAATTAGCGAAGTAACGCCATGTTTTCCTAACCTAACATTCTCAATAATGTAACATACTAATTTTAGCGCTTATTATGTCACAGGAGGAAAGAAATAAAAAAAGATGAAACATTGAAGAATACGAATTTTGAAAATACGAATATATTCTCACTGCACCTTCAACTCTATCTTACTATAAAAATTTGTGATTCCTCTTTGTCGTCAACCAATTTGTCGTCAAAAAATGACGTCATCAACAATGTCAACAGATATTTGTTTACACGGCATTGTTGTGGAACACAACAATGTCGAGTAAACAAATATAACGCTTCACAACAAAGAAATCAAAAAATATCAAGCCAGTCGCATTATCACTGTTCCAGAAGGAGCACTTAGCATTCTTAAATATTGACTGACAGTTGGCCTAAAACATCAGAAAAGTGAAAGAAGACGTTATCAAGTATTTGAAGTACCAACTCCAACAACTTCAACAAGGTAAACTGATACTCATTCGATATATTACGATTACGAAAACTATTATGAAAACTGACTTTATGATCGATTTTAAGACGAACATTTGCAGGGGTGGGGCTGGACGTAAAAAGTTGACCAACTAAGAACTGTTGGCCTCTGATCAGCGACGTAAAGAAGTAAAATATCAGATTACAGGAAGCGCTCCGAAAGGATTAGCCATCGTCGTCAAAAAATGACGTCATCAACAATATCACCTTATATTTGTTTATACACGGGGGTTAGTTTAGTTTCTTACTCAGGGGTTAAAATACTTGAATGAGACACTAAACTAACTCCCCTTCGGGACTAACCAAGGTTTGTTGCGTTTTACAAACTTGACCAATCCCCCCTAGGAGCTCCGAAAGAAGCGCCCTGCTCTAGTGTTAAAAAATTTGTAACTTTTAACATCATCATTTGCATGCATTTTTAATTCCACATCTGAACAGCTCCTTTGTTGATAACAGCAGCAGGATTAACGATTTCTTTTAACCAACAATAGCGACTGCTTCAAAATGAAGCCATCAAGGAAGCCATGACAACACTTTTCCAATGTCATGTAACCGACTGGCGTTTACCAAGTCATATGACGTATCTCTCCTCACGGCCCATTAGAAGAACTTCGTTTCCTTATTTTAAACAGTTACGTATTAAAACTATAACAACAATGGTTACGATTGAAATGCGAGATTCCGTTTATCTGACACATTATCTGTTAGTCTGCATTGTTGTTATCTTCATGTTAGTTTATCGCATATGTAATTCTGCTGAATGACAGGTTCTGGTAATGGTAATGGGATAATTTATTTATTTATTTAGTGTTCTGTCTGACGACAGGTCCATATGAACAGGATCCTTCCATCCTTTTCTCGGACTGGGTCCTGTTCATATACGTTCTTGGCAGATGATCCAGAAGTGGTTTGCCATTGCCTTCTTCTGTGTGTGAATGGAGTAATTGTTGGGATGCCACGGAGGAAAACTCCGTGTTGCCTAGACCACGGCCTTGCCCAACACAAGTTATAAATTCGGGCACCGCCGGGAATCGAACCCGAGACCCCCAGGATTACAAGGCCAGCGTTCTAACCGCTAGACCACCGTGGTTCAATGGGATAATACACACACACACACACACACACGATAATACACACACACAAAAGCTTTGAACAATTTCATCAGACTTCGTGTTTTGTGAACTGATGTTTGTCCGTGTGATGTAGGTTGCTTATGGCCAGGAAAAAGGCTTGGATTTACTAACATCTTTAGTACGTGTTCTAAACAGGCTGTTCACCCAGCGTTTTAGGTCTTTGCCACCTGAATCAGTTCCTTTTTATTCGTTCCACATCATGGCATCTAAAATGTACATAAGATGTCGGCAGCCAATTGAATCGTTTCAGCAAAGCGATAACGTAGTCTGTCTACAGCGGAGCTCAAGGAGAAAGAATTTCGACGCCCTCGGGCTGAAAGCTCCAGCAGTCCCAGCCAGTTTTAACCCGATCCAAAACTAGTTTCGTGAAACGACCGAAACGCAATCTGCTCTACACGGGTCTGCCTCTGCTGGTTACGTGTGAATGCACTTCGCACTATTGAAACACGGGCCCCAACGTGTTTTCCGAACAGACGAAACGCCACTTATGCACGTATCGTTTTAACGATGCTTTACCAACTGGCTTTACGTAACTGCAGTACGTCGTATTGTCGCTGTTTTCATTGAGCAAATATTAAGAAGAAATAATTAAAATGTGTTAATGCGAACGACAAATTTAAATTTAAATCAGATTACACTTTGTAATTCTGTGGCCCCCTGAGTTTAGCGGTTCCCCTTATATATTTACAAAGCACTTATTTGATTTATAGTCTGAGTCTTAGATTATTTAAAGGCGCTGTTGCAAAGGAAATACATTCCTTCTTGTGCTACGCAACAATACAGTAACATTTCCAAGTCTTACTAGATTGCCTTCCCACATAAAAGTAAAAAAAAAATGCTATTAAAAATAATTTAATAACGGAAAGTCAAACGAAGATGCTCGTTTGTTTGCCTTTTTCAATATCGTAAACCTTCAGAGCCCAGTGAAAATTTTATGTGCCATCTGTTTTAAAAATCGAGAACTCTTCCTTAAACAGCATTAACCATGTAATGGTGAAATCTTGTGTTTTCTTTGCGGTACGGACTTGTTTCTTAAATGATATTTAGAGGAAGTTCAGGCTTCATAGGGTAGTCAAAAAGTATGAAAACGTAGTACAGACATCTTTGTTTTATAAATAAAAATTGCTGAATTTATTGATTTATCTTGTTATTTAACGACTCTGCCGTGGAGAGAGAGAGCGTTAAATGAGATGGAAAGACAACAAATAACATCAAGATAGCGGACATGTGAGATGTGAACTCGATTCAATTACGTGGAGCTTCTTAATTTTCAGCTATCTGGGAAAAATAATGATTCTTGGTTCACTTATCGACGCTTTTACAAATACATATGATTATTTTTAGTGCAAAAATCATAAACATAAGACCAATAAGTTGTATAATTATTACTTAATAATTTACGCTTGTTTCTTAACGAAGGCTGAAGAATTTCAAGCAGGTGATGGGTTTTTGTTCCGTGACATAAGGTCACCGTTCATAACGGAACAGTTGGCGGCATTGTTAAGTAACCCAGGTAACAATCTACGACATCTGAAAATAACAAAAGCGTTTTCCATTGCGTGCTGAAATACGGCACACTGCCTTGTTCGCCACTTGTAAAATGTGTGCGAGGAATAACCTTCAGTTATTATGGCTACACTGCATATGCAAACGTCAAAAGGGCAGGAGCTGGTACCAGACAAATGAATTTTATCAAGCGACAGTCTAAAACCTAAAAGGTTCTGGCACGTTATTAATCCACAACTAATTTCACTAACCTACTAACAGTGTCGTTAAATAAGCCATATGCAAAATAAATACGAAATCAACGCCACTGCACCTAAATAACCTAAGAATCAATCAAACCAAATACGCAATCCATTCCTAGAAATGCAGTAAAGATTTTCGGTGTAAATTTATTATAATTCTGCGTTCATGCAAGGCGCTCCTCAACTAGCTGACAGATGGACAGACAAGCGGAAGAACGTAGTAGTTATTTTTCACGTTCAATTTATTATTAAAAGCCCACAAAACTGACATCGGAGACAAGATTTTGATACACCGGGTTGTAACGTTTCACAGAAATCTCCACTGATACAACAGCCACATGTTTCCGCCCTGACGATGTTTTTGAGTTTTATTTTGTCTCCGGAGGTCTTTTAGTAACGTGTTTTTGCTCAGGCTTTCGAATCTCCGCAGATGTCAGTCATCCGAGTGTCCTAACAAAATGTACACACACACGCGTTGAAACTTAAACCCACTGCAGTAGACACATCTCCAAACGCGTTCTTTGCTACTTACCATGACTCATGAGTCCTCTTGTTCATTTACTGCAAATAAAACCTGTTACAAAATTGAACACACTGCAGATAACCTGTACTGAGTGCAAAACTAGCTTTCTTCGTATTTATTTAAATGTTTCCCACATTTAAAAACATTTCAAAGCAAATACGACAGAAATACATGGCTTTGGGGCTTCCTTACGCATCAACACACAACTTACTCTCCTTTTCCGAGCGAATCTCTAAAATATTTTAAGTATCCCTAACGGGTTCAAGAACCATAGTGCGTTCTGCTTACATTACAGACGACAGCCTCAAATTAGCGTACAAATGCAAGAACAAATAAGAAACTATCAATATTCCGGAAGGGTTAATGACTACCCTGACTAAGAAATTTCATGATTTTCTCCAGTCTTTCCAGTACAATACAGGGACAGTACTTCAGTACAGGCCGCGATCAAACCTTTACCAGGATGAGTTTGAAGTTGATAGCCTTCTGGAATATTTTGCGTACGGCCTCCATCACCAGGGCGATGAAGTAGACAATACACACCTCCGAAACGTCAGTAAACTTCTATGAGACTACATTCCGGAAGGCTGTCATATTCATTATCTCCTCTCAATCGATGACATATAAGCTTTGCAGCTGAAATGGCGTCGCTAAATGCCTTAAGAATGAGGCATCTTTACATTTTCCTTCACACTCTTTTGTCTGGTGGCCTTGAAGCTGGATAATACCTCCAGCCAGTGCTTCGACCACCTTTCGTCCTCACAAAAGAACACTCTGTTAGTGGCCAACTCTGAGTGAAGTGATTATTTGCGTTGTTACTGAAGTAGTCAGAGGGATAATAGAGGGAGAATTACGAAGGAAAACGATGATTATGATCTTCTTGGTTTTGGCGCCATGTAGACGCGTCGACAAATAGAAAGCAGAACCCAGAGCACCATCATCCTCCCTGAAGACGTCACATCTGACACACCAACACTAAGTCGCCTTATTCTAGAAAAAAACAAAAAACAAACAAACAAGAAAACGAGCATCGTCGTAAAACAAATGCGTATTAAATATGATGTATGTAAAATCTATGTCGTGTCCAGTTGGCTTATGCTTAAACAATATTAACACTTTTAAAAGCTCAGTCGTAACCATGTTTCCCACCTACTTGGACAATAAAAATCTCTTGTAGTTTGTATTTATGGGTTTTGTATTATTCTCATTGCAATCAGCGATTATTTCCTTAAACAGCGTTAACCAGTTGATCTTTGTAATGGTGAAGTGACGTGTTTTCTTCGCGGTACGGGCTGAATTCTTATATATCATTTAGACGAGCTTCAAAAATCCCACGTTGCTCTGCATGCCTCCCATGCAGCCCTCTCAGAGTAATATCAAAATTCCGCTCTATAGTAGCCCCCCCAAAAATTAACGTAAATTATTCCTAACGCCACCCCCAAGGCCAATATCAAAATTCAAAATTAACGCAAAGACCCTGATCAACTTCCCCCCTACTCCATTTCTTAACCGGTCCTGTCTCCTTCTAAATCCCTTGCCCTTATTAAACCTATTCATACCAGAAAGACGAGCGGGCACTGCCTGGGAACCTTCGTAGCCCCAAACCAACTTTATTTATAACAGTAGTGCCTATCGCTACTTCCCCTCCCACTTTCTCTCCTCTCTTGTTTTCAAATGTTTAAAGAGAAGTAATCTCGTAACAAGGGATTCTAAGGGACCTACCTGGACAGAAATGGACTTACATTAAGACCTTTTGCTGTGCAGCTGGAGCTGAAATATTTCGTCATGCAGACAGACAGCCATGACCTTCACAATGGATATTTTCAGTTCCGTTTGTGTGCAGAACGACCAAAATCTTTAATAAAAGTTATTGGCTAGTAACATGTTATTTAACGACAGTGGCTAAGTAAATAACAGAGGTCAGGAGAACTGAATCGGAAAATGGCAGAGTCTGGCTTTGGACTGACGTGAAGTTTGGTGCGGAAGTCACGGTGTATCCAAGGTTAAACACAAGTTAAGATAACATTCATAACATGAGCACAAAGTACACATTAGAAGGAAGCGACAGGAAAATTAAATAATAGACGGATTGCAGAAACAGACTACATTCGCTAAAACTGGAAATTACGTTCTTGATTAAACTGAATAATTATACTGTGATTAACTACTTTCTTATATTAAACAAAATTAAATTAATGCGCAATTTTACACTTATTAAAATTGGCGAAGTCAAACTAGACACTGTATGAAACAATAAATACCTAATCAATACTAAGGCTTCGATGTTCACTGTTATGCCTGCAACGAGAAAATTAAACGTGGGCCTTTCACCTATTTAACCCTTTGAAGAGAGAGTTGAAGAGAGAGAGAGAGAAAGAGGAAATTGGTGGGGGAGAAGTGAGAGACACTTCGATATCTGGGGGGGAGAAAGAGCATCTTATAGCTAGAAGGTCCCCAGGCAATGCCCGCTCGTCCTTCTGTTAAGGATAAAGTAAGAGTGAAGGCGTTAGTGTGATGATTGGCATAAAAGACGGAATTTTGAAATTTTGTATTAGAGAAAGCTGAGGCTATTAATTTGGAAGTTTAATACATAATTTAGAAGTTCCTACTGAGGGGAGGGGGGGTACTAGCCATCGGGAGAATTGTTTTTTGGTAGAAAGGTATGTGGTGAAGTTGACGTTTATGACGATGTGACTTGTACATATGAGACGTTTGTAATTACCATCAAGTTTAGATGTAAAGTTGATTTGCAGTCTCTATTTACGTATATGCAGAATAGCTCTTGAAGCCAAAGCTCGTGTAAATAATATTTAAGAATTCAGTCCGTACCGCGAAGAAAACACAGCCCTCCACCATTACACAGATCAATTCGTTAACGCTGTTTAAGGAAATAATCGCTGTTTATGATGAGAACCATAGGAAACACATAAATACAAAATTCTGTGTTACTTATTAAGTAGTTTTTGCATATGTTTAGTACTGGGCTATGCGTGTACTCGAATTGCAAGAAATCAATAAATTAATAAATTAAAACAAATCATAAAATTGTCTAATATTATGTTCAAGAGTCGAAGCGGTTTTAATAACCGCTCAGAAGCGCTGTGAACGCGCCAAAAGACGACCTTAAATATGTGCAATGCATTAAGCTGGCTGTTTTGAACACGATAATGAACCACGGGGTTTCTTAATCAGCTGTATGACTTATCAGCTGATCAAAGACTAAGGTAAGACGAAAACCGAATCAAAATAAACCTTTTTTTACGACAGAAAGAAATGGATTTTCCACGTTGGCAGAATACAGACAGATCCCCGAAATTAATTACGAAGAACTCGATTGAACAAGAAACGACAGACGATCATTTAAGAGGACATTAATATTATTGAGGCAATTCTTAATGTACGTATTATCAGCCAGCGAAACGAACGAAGACCTGGGTGACAAATTAGATCCGGACAATCAGAAGCTGTAGTTCACCTCGACCTGTCAATTGGCCCGTGAAATTAGGTAACACCCAGACTCGAACGTTTGACGATTAACGAACATTTCACGACATAATCGAAAATACAGAATACTCTATTTTAAACGTTTTTAAGGCGTGACTGGTACAATTTTCACAGCACTGTTATATTTATGGGGAGGTCATGGCCCGAAAACGGGACCGAAGCACCATACATGGTGATTATATTTATATTAACGACTTGCTTCAACAATCAGTAACTGTGAATTTTGTATTTAAATCTCTTACAGAGCTGTGATTCGCATGTAAACAGCGATTATTTCCTTAAACAGCGTTAACCATTTGATCTACGTAATGGTAAAGAGTTGTGTTTTCTTTGCGGTACGGACTGGATTCTTAAATATTATTTAAACTTCGGCTTTAGAAGATTAAAATATCTCCACCAGCACCTCTTTCGAAAATGTTTATATCTTTATAGGGCCTGCGATTAGCAATAACCAAGATGAAATCCGTCATGTACATATCTTCTGTTTCGAAGGACTTTAAGAAGTCAGGTGACCTTAATGAATTATTCGTCACACCAGTCACACAAGGCACGGGCAAGGTAAAAGAGCGAGAATGTGACACGGTAAGTTTTGAAAACAAAACAAATAACACAAGCCGTGACTGTAAAACGGCATGGTAGCCACTACAACAAAGAAAAAACACCAGTCACAAAGCAGCATCAGAGGCGAGAAGCTGCTCTGATATCGCGTGCAGATAATCGTCAACAAACTCCAGTGCGTTTCAAACTGGCTTCGGAAAGTGTTAATATTTCGTACTATCAGTGAGCAGTAAGTTTGTTACTGTAAGGTTACGATCTGTGCACTAAGCAACTACTGGGAATAACATTACTTTATAAAGTGTGCCTGCAAGCGTTTTGGACAGAAACTTCTTGCCTGATACAGGTCAGTTTGGAAACAAATTCAGAACTAGTGTAAATGTAGTCTAAGTTAATGTAGCTTTTAGCTTTTAGTTTGGGTGGTCTAGCGGTTAGAACGCTGGCCTTGTACTCCTGGTGTCTCGGGTTCGATTCCCGGCAGTGCCCGAATTTATAACTTGTGTTGGGCAAGGCCGTGGTCTAGGCAACACGGAGTTTTCCTCCGTGGCATCCCAACAATTACTCCATTCACACACAGAAGAAGGCAAGGGCAAACCACTTCTGGATCATCTGCCAAGAACATATATGAACAGGTCCCAGTCCGAGAAAAAGATGGAAGGATCCTGTTCATATGGACCTGTCATCAGACAGAACACTACAAATAAAAAAAAAAAACTGTGCATGTAGAACGCATCCTTTAGGTACAACTAAGATGGACGGAAGACATGTCAGATTAAAGAAACACGCAAGAGTTACAACACTGTTATAGAAATATATCGAACGAACAATATGACCTATAGAAGACACACTCCCATACGTAGGCATGTTACATCATTAGTAATTACTTAGGAAACACGCAATGCATTTATAAGTATCTAAAATTATGCGCTATACTGAAACCATGTTTATTACATAGATGCTATCTTCTGAGTTGTCGTTTTGTGTAGCCTGGTAGAAGTTTACCGACGTGTCAGAGATTTTTGCAGCCTCATTGCCTTGATGATGAAGGCAGAGAGTACCTCCGAAACGTCTATAAACGTCTTCTAGTCTACACGGCCGTACAACTCCTGCAAAGCCGTGAACGTCGCCTGTTCTGTTCGTGGAGGTAAAACCACAAAATGCGTTATTGTATCTGTTATGACAGACGACAGATAAAAGTTCCGATTTATTTCGTTTCTATGGCATAAAAATAAATCATGACGATTCCGAAACGGGCACTAAGGAAAAAAAAAAGAAGTTTTTCTCGAAAGTTTCGGTTCAACAGGAAAACTGACGATGTTGAACTTATGGGTTGTGACCTTGCGGGGAGAAATCAACGTTTCGGAGAAAAACATACTGTCTCCGTCTTTCACCGAAATCCTTTACAAGTCCAGTCGACAGCGTCAAAACCGATCTACTAATCTTATTATTGTTTCAGTTCTATCTTCAGCACCTTCGAGTATCGGCAACTTCTTCGACAACCATGTAATGCATGTAGTCGAAACAAAATTATACAGGGGGTTAAACAATACAATAATTTGCATTATCTACCGGAGAAAACCCACAGGAAGTAATTGGTTGGGTGGGCCTTTAGAGCTTTCCCAGACGAAGGGGAGACAAATAAAACATGTCCCTACCAGGAATCGAACTCAGGTCGTCCAGCCAGTCACATTTCTCAATAATATTGCGTAAAAACGTGACAGGATGAAATTTCAGGTTCTTACATTAGTTAAGTATAAAGATGAGTCACTGTGGGAAAATGTGCTGTCTAGTCTGGTAGATGACCGACGTTTCAGAAGAGCTTATGCCTGCCTCATTGTTTGTTTTCCTTATTCCAAAGGATTTGAAAAAAAAAATACATCGTGCCCCCTTGCCTCGTCTGCTGCTTTACGTACACGTGCCACAAATGTTATTAAGTCTAAAAGTCTAACTTAAAATATAAATTTTCAAAGTAAATACTGTGTCAGACACAAGGTTTTTGCAAAAAAATAAATTTAAAATAACACTAAACTCTATAGTAGTTCGCATACATTTTTAATAATATTTATATCTGAGAATATACTGTGGTAATTTGTCATTTCTGAATACGTACTCTCGAAACTCGGCTGTTACTTTTGAAAAATAAGCCGCTGGACAACCTTGACGTTGACTGCATGTAATGTACTCTCTTTTCTGTTATGACTGTCTGTCAGTAGGAGTTCGTAACTAGTAACGCAGTTATGGCTGATGTTTGTTGCCATGGTTTCGTAATTAACACAATATTGTTGGAATGAGTTTGCCCTTTCGAAATAAGAATGAAATTCAATCACTGACGAGTGCCTAGATTTCAGAAAAGCAAGTTCACGTAATTATCTAGCAAACACCAAGCACTGTGCAAACACTTTAAACCAGTCGGAGCAAAGCACCGTCATTTAGTATCTGGAGACATACCGCACTGTGTACTAAAACGTTTAGCTCGCATTTATTAGTCAAGGTTTGATTAGTGGTGCTCAGATCGAGACACGAAATTAATATTCTTAACGAGAATCGAAGTAAAGTGGGAAGCCGTGGCCAATTTTCACGGGGGGGTGAGTCTGAAGACGGACATTTTCGTAAAATGTTATATTTTATAAAAGTGCTGCTATCATTAATAATCTTTTAGAGGCAATTCTGAAACTTGTTACGAGAACGTCGAAGTCAAGTCTGATACATCGCGTTATTGTACCGATACGAACATGATAGGAAGAAGGAAGGGAAAAGATACGAAAAGTATAAAAGAAATGAAGAAAGATGGTGGGGGATTAACATATGAAATAAATAATTCCACAAAGAATATGAACAAGCATTATGCTTCTTATTTGTAGGCGAAAGTACTCTCTGTCCGACGGAAAATAAAAGGTTCACGCGAAGTAACGCCGTTAAACAACATACAAATGGAACAAACAAACAAAGAAACAAACAAACACGCAGTTTAACGAACAGAATGTACCTCTCCCGTGTGTTCTACCACAGACGTCACGCGGGCCGTTAAAGTAAACGAAACTTGAATAAAGGTCACAAAATTTTCACTGCGTCATGCACGAGATCCAATCAACCACGAACATATTACAGCCGATTGTTAGAGCTTAAAATTAATTTGTGTCGTCTAGAGGCGGAGAGCGGAAAGCGACACTTTTCGTGTTTACACAGACAACAATAAAACTATTATGACAGTTTCGTTCATCGTTGGCCCTTTTAAGGGACGCTGCTTATCATGGATTGAAATCTGAACGTCTCCACTTTATTTAACGACGCTTGTCAGTAGTTCCGACTACACAGCGGCAAACGACACGATTATTAAGGTTATGGAAAGAAATAATTAATTAGTATTCCAGAATTTTCGCGGAGGAACTGAGAAAAACCTCTGCGAACCAAGATCAGAATGAGATCCTCCGGCACAAGAAGCAGAGAATCACGACGTTTCGATAAGCATGGCGGCAAGCAACTCTTCAGCTTTGCATTTAGAAGTAATCCACTTCGAATACCGACCAGACCATAGGCTGTCCTACAATGAATGTGTTCATCGTTCAATCTATTCAACTGATTTTCGGGATATTATCATAGGCCACGACCTTATGACTCTAATAAAACTCTTCATCTCATATCACGCTACGTACATACTGCAGTTGAAACAACGTCGTTAAATATAATATTCTAACAATAATAATACTTTCGCTAATGACACCGACCTTGATTCGCCCTCCCCTCTCGCGCAGAAGGTCAAGTGGAGGGGGTAGATAGGGAGGGACTTTACGTGACACGAGATGTTCATAACGCTGTACAATCAGAGCGCCTACTGACCTCGTTTAGGCTACACGCCACACCCAAGTGACAGTGAAGTTGTCGTCTATCACGGCGATGGAATCTACTGACTCTCCTATAAAAATAAATCGCTAACATTAATTCCATTTATGTGAAACTAAGCTTTGCACAAATGACCTATTTCATCACACCCACTCAAAGCGCCCAAGAAATGGGGATCGGAAATGTTTACTCCGGATAGGATATAGGAGCTTCTCAACGATTATGTAACTCATCTTGGCCTATCACGTTCATTAAACCGCCGTCCTTAGAAGCTGATCTCAGAATACTTTGCTACAGTAAAAAAGTTACCTTAGGAGATGTTGTTAGGTGACCTCGATAGTCCTTTCTCTCATTCGCCATTGAAACAAGTTTTTCCAACATGTAAACAGGCCTTAAGAGACATGAACAATGAGACGCATAAGGACGACAGATAATGAAATAATTGAATTGAAATACGTTATTAGAATCGTAATGTTTCTGTTTTTAAGATCACTAATTATATGGGCTCTCACACACAAATGAGAGAATATATTAAGGGAGCTTCAAAACAGGTTACTGAGGAAAATATCCGGACCCCAAGACAGAATAACACGTAAATATCTACGAAAAATGTCTGTATTTATTACGTACGTCAAAAGTGTTATTCTAAGATTTTTACATTAGATATTGAGCATATTCGCGTTTCGAGGATGTTGTATGCATACAAATACATTTTTAACGAGACTTACATAACTATGGAGGCGGTAGGACTACGTAATTAGGAAAGTGGCTCTGAATAGTTTAGCTATTTGCTTTTATTATATTTGTCAACATACGTCATCTATGTTGCATTGTACGTGGAAACAACATTCGGAACTACGATAGCCTTACCGTATCTGTCGCTAAAATTTCGGGATTAAGTCCCACTTGGGTCACGTCTGCATTGTCGATCCAGTGAAAGCATAGTCATTGGTAATGGCCGAAAACTTGAGAAGCCAATCCTAGGGTCTGGCTTCATCCCTAGTAACAGGAAGAACGGATAGTTTCGTCCTTGAGGTCGCATAGAAAAGTTTCGTGTACGCATGTCTGGTTGCTGGCGAAGTAAGTGGACTGCGTTGTTAAGTCAAGTAGACAAGATAATCGGTCGGACGCCTTGAATTCATTCAAGTCGTGTCCTATTTCAGTAGGGAATTGCTAATAAAATGTCCGATTAATATACTATTGTCAATGCAGACTTCAGGTGACGGTGGAAGGAAATTAATTAAATATGTTATGAAGTATTTAATTTGGCAAACACGTAAATAAATGAATGGAATTGAATATTGTACATTTATATAATTAGTTCATTTGTTTGTTTGTTTTTCATTTTAATGTTTCACTTTTAGGCATATTATTTAGCTCATTTACTGTTCATTATTTTGCAATAAATTAATGAATTGATTTATTATCATTATTATATTGTACATTTATATATTTAGTTCATTATTTGTTTTTGTATTGCTATGTTTACTTTTATTATTTTTTTGTATTGTTAGTGCTTGGCTGTTATTGGCCTTTTTGGCTGTTGCCAAGCACTCAAATAAATGAATTGAATTGAATTGAATTGAATAATTTACGATGTTTCTCAAAAAAATTTTTTTTTTGTAAGGCTTCCAACCCACGGGCATAAATTTATGTCAGTGCAGATTATTATTTAAGCCCTAACAGCTGTTTACGATTTTCGTGCAAAAACCTGACGACAATTTTGTCCGAGTTTACTTACAGTTTTAGTGTCAGTCCTTAATACGGCCTGTACGCGCTAAGCCACATCGATAACAGTCACGTGACTTCGTAAGCGACGACGGAATGAATGAACCGGGAGGGAGGCCTCAAGTTGATACCGCACTCTTCTTGCAGATACCTCTCAGTGTGAGGCAAACATGGAGAAGGGAAACAAGTTTGTGGACCCTATGGAGGCGCTGTTCACACCTCCGCCCCATAAGACGAAGATAGAGGCCCTGACATCCTTCTTTTACGACAGCGACGAGGGATCGTGCCTCGGCAGAACTCCAAGTCAATGGCGTAAGTACACAGAAGTGTAAAAACAAATAATACCTAAAGGCGTTTGTCGGCTTACTTAAAAAAAAAAACATTCCGTCTGAATGAGAAATGCGGGCGAAATTTTGGTCGGAAAACCTTGAAAGTAAGACCTAGGCGTAAACCGGTTCTCAGGAAACAGGTAGGAGGATGTGGAATGGAGTCATCTGGCTCAGGATAAGGACCAGTGGTGGGCTCTTGTGAATACTGTAATGAACCTTCGGGTTCTATAAAAGGCTCCGAGTTGACTGACTACAAGTTTATTAAGGACTCTGCCCCCCCATATGGCTAATCGTAAACCGTGTTTGATGACATTTTTTGTTTAAATCAGGTTGTTGTCCCTCAAGAGATCCTGGAGTTTTCAAAGATTCTATCCAACTATTTGCGACGAAAACTGCAAACCCTCTTGTTGTTAACAGGTGACCCGGTCGGTATCCGAATACAGATCGGACAAATCACAGTAATGAATATTACCCAAATATGAAACTGAGATTCAAAAAAAGTAAATTGTAAACAGACTGATCCAGACAGCGAATTCAATGGCCGACAGGAAAGTATACGAACGCGTATTTTCCGGGTATGTTCTTAGTAATTACCGCTTTATTTGAAAGACTGTTAACTTGACTCAAGTACAGGCAGAATACGCGTTAGAATTTTGAAACAGATCTCATGGATATTTTTCTTCCCCACAAGTCCGGATCGGGACTGAGCCCCATTCAAAATCGGACCCACGGGTTATTGCCGGCTCCTTCCACGGAGTAACCGGAGTGTGGGGTTGACCAACCACCTGTTTTCTCACTGCCTAAGTACGCGTCGAGGTTGTCTTGGCGCTGTAACCTTCGTCTCTTATAGATTCATACTTTATTTAATTTTACTTACGATTAATCCTTTTTAAATACGAACTTCCGTCTATTTTTTTTTTAAAACATTCAGTCCGTACCGAAAAGAAAACAACTCCTCTCCATGACAACTATCAAGCGATAAATTCTGTTTAAATAAGTAATTCTGAGAATCGCACAAAACCGATAAATACAATCTGTGGGCCAAATGCAGATCGTGCAGTACATACAATTACCAATCTGATTTAAAGGGTTATACCCCTCCTTTGATTGGTAAGAGGCGATATTTCATAACAGTTCACATTTATATTTCCGACTCTGATCCAGCATTCAATTCCTGGTCTATTTTTAATCATGGAGGGTGCCAGAAGACGTGGTGGTAGGCCAGTGCCTAAACCTGAGTAGTACATTCTGCAGAACGCTACAGAGTAGTTCGAAGTACATTCTGGGGAGTACCACGCCAAGAATACACAAAGGTATCCTGGAAATAGAGCTTCACGCTTTCTAGATCTGGACACGAGATAGCAGTGAGTGGTCAGACTTAAGCTCCGGCCGCTTTGCCACATAATCCACTGAAGAGGGCTTTCATTGCACTGGCCTTGCCCTCGTCGAGAATCAAACTCCTGAAGAAGTAACTTGGCACTTGTTCTGGCTGAGCAAGCAGGCAAATGACGTGGTACGATACGTGCCGAGGACGACTGGTATACCCTCGATCCGTAACCTCGTTTACAAAAAGGCAACACGATATTGACTATGCTTGTACTTCCAAGAACACGTGCTGTAAGGGGGGGGGGAGACCAAAGGTGACTTTTCATCGTTACATAATTATTGCGAGAGGGGGGGGGGTATAAAACTCAAACAAATTTTATATACCAAAAGCACAAACCATGTACGAAGAGAAATGTTGGCAGACATTGAAATTAACTTATTCAAGGAATCTATCCTTTCGATTTCCTTCTTTCTTGTATAATTTCCGTGATTCCCCCCCGGGATTCCTCTGTCTCTACTTTTCCTCCTGCTTTACATTCAACCTTTTACTGATCCCTCATTGTCCATGTAGTCCCCGGAAGGCATTTAATAACAATATGCACATGCAAAGTCTGGTATTTTAGAAGGAAGCGATCTTGAATTTTCTAAAGTGTTTTTTTTCTTCTCGGAGTTTACCTCTAGGGAGTAAAATTAGCAACAAAAAACTTCAGTCAGAAAAGACAGTTCTTCGGTGGATGTTACAGTCGGACACAAACAGACGTCATTTCCTTCTTTCAAGATCCTGCTTCCTTTACGTCCAAGTTACTATCTTCAACATTGAAGAAATTCATATCTGACACAGATATCAGCAAATAACATGGCGTCTGAGCGACCGATACGAGCGTCTCTTCGTTAACGCTCACAGCAGACAGAAGTCTTGGCTACGCTTTCCTGAAAACATTCGTCTAAGTTCAATTCAAGCAGTCGAGTCCACGGTCAAATTCATTTCTAATTACTAGTAAAATTGTGACGTCACCAAAAAGCCAAGTTGTTTGTTGGTATACATTTTACGGGGAAAATTAGTTATCGTGTGTATCGGAATATCCCGCAGAACACGCTGTACGAGTCCGACAGTCGTCAGTCGTTACAAAAATGGTTTTGCCCACTTTCATTACGTCACTTCCTTATTAACATTCTGTCACTGTTACTACACACGTACGACACTGCCCTGAAGATCTGATTCGGTGACCCTACAATGTTTCTGCAGTCAACAGTGTCAAGAGGAGAGGACAGCCTACATTACGTACATATTAATTTAACGCTGCTAGTTCAGTTACTTGATTTATTTAATTCCTTGCATAACTCCTGTTCATTAAGATAAGTTAACAAACAGTACTTATGCAATGAACTAAAGACGGATTTATTTATTCATTTATCATTACTTATTTTATCACAAATTATTTATTTTAATCCGTCTTATCACAATATTTTATTTTAAAATTTCTTATAATTAAGATAATAAAATATCATTGATGTTCCATATCGATTGATCGATTTACATTTCGGAACATTTACATTGTTCCGAAATGTAAATCGATGAATCGATATGGAACATCAATGATATTTTATTATCTTAATTATAAGAAATTTTAAAATAAAATATTGTGATAAGACGGATTAAAATAAATAATTTGTTATAATATTCACAATATGACGCAATTACAATAACTTATTTTATCGTTATTTATACACATATTTACTTACACTGCTTATTTAATTTTCTTAATTATCTGTGCGTGCATGTCATTAATTACATATTCAGTTCTCATTAACTAATTTTTATTGTTATTTTACTTGAAGCTTACTTAACGGCGATAATGAATAATGATATAAGAACGTCGAAAATCTAAGAGAAAAACGGAAAACATCAGCCAGTTTATCACCAGACAGAATCAAATCTAAATATTACCTTTCCAGTTTGAAACATTTGTTAACTACCGTTCAGTGAATTCGCTCCATTCGGACACTGATCTGGTCCAGATAACAAAACAGTGATGCAACAGAAAAAGATACCCACACAAAGCAGACCCTGGTTCTCACCAAGTTTCGGGCATTTTTTTTTACCATAAAGTTCTTATTCATTTTCCAAAAAAAAAAATTACATTTCTTTTCTCTGTGACTATCAATTTAAGTGGGGCAAACCCTAAATTGCAAAGTTACGTAACAAAAAAAAAATATCACCGTTACAATCAACGGGAATCCGAAGATGGCTGTCTTCTGCGTTGTTGCACCGTGTAGTCAGATACATCGCCCTGGTGATGGAGGCAGTAAGTATATCTGAAACGTCTACCAGACTACACGGCGCAACAACCCGAAGACAGCCATATTAATTTTCGACGCCGTGAGAACCTGAAATCTCATCATTTAAAGACGGTTCAATTCAGCCCCCACGAATCTGTTTCCTTGTTACAATCTGTCCTTCCAAAATTCGTTTGTTTCCTTAACAGGACAGATCGTAATTAAAGAACATTTGTTCTACTTGTAGCCGCTGCTTCAAAAAACCCACTCACTTCCTGCATCACTGAATCTGACAGACCAACGAAGAACGAGGGTGACCGAGTAGAAAAGCAGACAATCACGACCCACGAGATGTGAAATAGCAGAGTGGATAAATTCACTAAATGAGGAACGTCATAATTTGTGCCCTTCATGAAATACTGTTCCAGAGAAGAGTCCCGGCTGAGAACATCTCGGATTTGCCAGGCACATAGATATTTCGGGATACGAACACCGACCTTAGACTTCGAATTAGTGACTGACTCTTCATTAAACACAGGCCTATATTATTTTTTTTTTATTTAGTGTTCTGTCTGACGACAGGTCCATATGAACAGGATCCTTCCATCCTTCTCTCGGACTGGGACCTGTTCATATACGTTCTTGGCAGATGATCCAGAAGTGGTTTGCCATTGCCTTCTTCTGTGTGTGAATGGAGTAATTGTTGGGATGCCAATGAGGAAAACTCCGTGTTGCCTAGGCCACGGCCTTGCCCAACACAAGTTAAAAATTCGGGCACCACCGGGAATCGAACCCGAGACCCCAGGATTACAAGGCCAGCGT